AGTGTATAATTGCCTATCTGGACTGTTTTTTGTGGGTTGCCGTTTTTCTGTGGATAGAGAGCTTTTTCTTGCTGTTGTTTGTTTGTCATTTTATTTAATTTTAATAAAGCTTCCAACTTTGAAAGTGCAAGCCAAAACTCCTTTGCATTTGTGTTTGATGCCTGGCTCTACACTTTTGGTCCAGATTCTCATGGCTTAATGTACAAAGTACAGCCCATGGTACTAGGACTACTCACTGCAAGTTTTCAGTCTGCTTTTCAAAAACAGATACAACAGTGTCACCTTCATTAAAGTCAAAAGCTTCAGTACTGCTGTTAAAGGGCTTCTAGAAATGACAACAGAGAAGTCAGATTTATGACAAGATAAGCAACGAGCTCTGTAAAACATAGGCATGTTACAACAAGACTTTTCCTATTGCAAATAAAAGTCATCAGGTGACTGAATCGGTTTTTAGAAAAATCATTTCTTTCTAGGTTTCAGAAGTGCTAACAATTCCAGCAACAAACCTTTAAAGTGTCCTGGCTGTGCCTCTTTTTAGTGTCTCTTCCATATGGTATTCAAACTGGCAAGAAACCCTCTCCACTAAGGGACAGTTATGAGTTTAGCATTATGGTGTTGGCAAGTCAGATCCTGAAATATTGTGAGCATTTGATAGTTGTCATCATTTTATTCATGACCATATAAAAAAGCACAGTTACATGAGTCCACTGTCAGATCTATAATACATCAAGTAAAACTGCAAAAATAAAAGGCAAAAAAGTGAAAAGGCCTCAAGTCCCCTTTCTTTGTTGTTTAGATATTTTTACTAATTGTCTCACATTAAAAAAAAAAAAAGTAGCAAAGACTTAGCCTTAAACACAAAGTTATCATTGACAAATCAGGTCCTCTAATCCAGACTGATGGCACACTTATCATTTCAACTGAGCAACCCACCACAAACTTGCAACACCAGCACTCGTTTATCCCCTGAACTGCTCCCTGGCCTCATCCACCCAATCAATTATTCACACCTTATTTTATGCAGAACAATTAAAAAAGTTGTTTCTGGTTTTGAAACAGTTGGTCTGAATCCTTTAATTCCACTCTCAAAACAGAGGAAGACAAATTTAAGGATATCTTAATTCTCAAAATGTCATTTATAAGGGGAAAGAAGAGGCATGAATATGGAAGTAGTGAGGGTGTTAAAACACCACTTTAAAATGTAGTGGAAAGCCTACACTGGAAACACTTACCTTGTCAAAGCATCAAAATGATCATCTCAGAAGACAATTCAGAAACACTTAAGTCAGAATTGTGAATAGAAAAAACAAACTGCACTGTCAAAGACCACTGAAATATCTAAGTCAGTGCAAAATGGTGGCTGGTGAGGAGCAACCAGTCATCTTGCAAAGTGAGGGACTTAAATTACTCATCACTGACCTGAATAATCTGCATTGAAGGACCTGATGAACACCAGTGATATTTCTGTCATGCAAGTACAACTATTAAACAACCAATATGCAACTCAAGAGTGATACTGTCATCCATGGAGGATTATTGAAGTAATAATCCATTAAAGAAAAAAGTCAAAGGGGAGAGTGGTAAACATCTTGCCATAAGTGAAAACACTTCAAAAATTTACAATTAAATAAAAAGTTAGATGGTATCTTATAAAAAGAAATGCTGAACACAACAAAGCCACAATAAATTAGTGTTTCCATAAAACGACATGCTGAAGGTTTTGTTCCCAAGTCTATACATTTTTTACTGTCTGTTAATTCCTAAATATTGACAGCATAATCAAATAATTGAGGTACAGTAGTTTACATTTGTATATGTCTTGTAAAAAGGTTATTATTTTTCTTCCAGTTTTTCTTCCTCCTCGCCAAAGAAAAACAAAGGAAACATTCCTAAAATGCAGCCAATGGTCACTCCAATAGCTTTACCCTAGAGAAAGGGGGGAAAAAATTAAGTTTCTCACTGATCAGTTGTTACTCGTTTTATCTGTACCAACACCACCAGGAAAACAAACCTATTGTTCTAGTTTTTGGTTAGGAGTCACATATTTCTTAGCATGCAAACTAGAAACACAATCTAAGAGAGGGACAGACACGACAAGGTTAGAAACAGTGCTTGCTGTGATGAAACATTTCTGAAGACAGAGGAGAGGAATGCTCATGAAGAGCTGCACAAGTGGCAAGGGAGGGGACAGAGATCCAAAGGATCAGTAGGATGGCCAGGAAAACAGGGAAAGAAGAAAAACAAACAAAAAAAACCCATCATAAACCCAAACAACACCTACACACATTTTAGGTGCAATTATAAATGTGTCTGTTTGTATCTGGCAATGCAGATTATCAAAGTCAGGAATGAGGAGTTCCTTGCAGATGTGATGGCTTGCTAAGGCACAAGGCAAAGACAAAAACAATAAAAACTGGAATTCACACTTGCCCTGGATGTGTAAGACAAGAAGAGAGGAAAAAAAGACAGAAAAGCAACATCCAAACCACAACACCAGCACTAGGCAGATAGTGTTGAGAAACTTGAGCCAGCAGGTAAAAAAGAAAAAAATGCCACCATACAGGCAGAGGTCATCAGCACACTTTTCACAGAGAAGTGCTGTGAACAAACTGCAGTGCAATGACTGGGTTTTGCCACAGACTCAGCCCCCCGAGAAGACTCTTATGTTGGACAGACTATTGGGCAGCCCCTGACAATATGGCAACTCTGCTGCTCAGTGCTTTGATCTATCACTGCTAAAACCTGACCGTCCCCTCACCAGCTTTTCCTCAGGAAATTCTATTTCTCTCCCCTTAAATCTACAAAAATATTTTTCTCCATGAAGGCTCATTCTGGAAAAGTGAAAGAAATAAGTGTCTTTACTCAGTTTCTGATAATCTGTTTCTTTAATGAAAACAAACTAATTCTCTCATTGCTGAAGTGGGACCACATCAAAAGTTTAAATGTTACTTAACCACCCTGAAAATGAATCTGCAGGATGAGTGCCCTGAAATTGTAAACTTGCTGAATAGCAAGCACTTGACAAAGGATGTATAGGAATAACTACCAAGGGGTCATAACTTTCAAGTAAATTATCTTATCACCATAGCCAGAGCTCAGCCCAGGTATCTGCAAAGCATACATGAAGCCACTACAGAAACTATCCACATCACCAGTCACTTGCAGCTTGCTGCATACAGAAAACCACCCAAGCCTGAAACAATCCTGTCCCATGATGCTCCCTGACATGGGCTCACAACTAAACCGTCTGGAAAACATGCAGAGTGTTGGTGGTCATTAAATATTTAATGGAAAAAGTGACAAAAAGGACTTCTCACTCATATCACAACAGAAAAAGCACCAAGCAAGCAGTGCCTACCTACAGGATACTCACCAAGTGTGCACTGAGACGCGTTTGCCACATGTCAGCTTGTTTGGGTGTCAGGTCAGGGATTGACAAACCCAGCCGTGAAGCTAAAGCTTCTACATAACCTGCAAGACTGGAAGAACAAGAAAACAAGAACAAACGATTTTGGATCTGACAGTGTCGTCTCACAAGGCTTTTGAAATATTTGAGCTTAACGTTAACAACTTTTCTTTCAACGTACTGATGAAGTCATTGAGTTCAGACTTCTAAAGGTCACATATTGCAAAGTAAGTTAATTATCTCACTGATCGAATATGCAATATTTCCAGAGAAGCTTTATGCAGTACAACACAATTGGTGTGAATGTTATTGTATTTTTACAGAACTGTAAGTAACCTTTACTGGAGGAAAGGTCACACACAGAGTAGCTAGTAATAAGCCTTGTTATTTGCAGAAAAAAGAACATTAGAGGGAAAGTGAGAAAAACAAGCATGACAAACAGCTTTACTTTCAGCAATTACTCAGAAACTTTCTTTGAACACAAAAAGTCTGTTTATATCACAAATAGGTAATGCCTAGATCTGAAGACATTTCAGATACAAACTGCTTTATCTGAGAAGAAAATGTCTTCAGACCTAGGTGCAACAATCTGAGAAGGTATATGAGGTACAGCAATATATTGCATCACAAAAAATGTATTTTTCCACTTGGTATTTTAATGAACACACTTAATATTCTTAATACAAGTTCATACATACCCCAGTCCAGCTAAATCTGAAACAAGGTTTCCCAAAGCTGCAGCTGGAGGAAGAGGGAAGAGAAAATGCAAAGTATTATTCTAACTATGAACAAAACCAACCAGCTCCCCTCCCAGTGAGCCCTGCTATTCTCTATACAGATAGGATGAAAGATTAGAACCAAGTTCCTTTTATTTTAGAGTTTTGATTCTGACCTTATTACACTTCAATTACAGCAACAGACTCATAACAAAAGGAAGTGCAACAGTTTTTCTCAACTTCTATGAAGAAAACTTGACAAATGCAAAAAGACAACACTAACACCTGGAAATCAACGTAACAACTTTTCAAACCAGAGTTAAGAACAGCTGTGCATGGATGCCAGTTCCATGCAGCTAATGCTGGACACCAAGCAAGGTCTTCCAGTGCCTGAAGAGACACAGAAGCACTGGGAACAGAAAGGGCTGTTACTCAGGTATGTGGCTTTGATAAACATTTCAAGACACCCAGGAACCGCGTCAGTTTAGGAATAAATACTGTACATACGAGTGAATAAAGTTACAGACTTAAAATACATGACTTCACAGCAGATCTCACTCAGATACGCTCACTCGTGACTGTCTTGCATTGCAGCAGAGGACTGCAAATTTCCAAATAACTTGCTCTACTATAGACATTTTAAGTTAAGCTCTGCATGCTTTTGAGCAATGCTGCACCAGCAATTGGTGGCTCCATGAACAGCTTTTTTCCCTCTGACATTGCAGTGGCACCAAAGCTGTAGAGCAGAGCTTATCAGTTTTGCCCAGTGCAGGGCAGGGTGGCTGCTTGGCCTTCCCATGGTATCGCACGGAGGCAGAGCAGTCACAAGAACAGCAGCCAACACAGCAAAAGGACACCAACACCCATCTCCACTTAGCACTGCAAGCAAACAGCAACTTACAAATACATATATACACACACATCAATATCAGACCCCGGGGAATTTAGAGCAGTTCCATTACAGAAATGCAAATACACTTTCCCAACTGACCCAGGATTTGAATTATTCGGCTAAAACTGACAACAAGCATTTCAAAGGCTATTTGAACTGAAATTTCATTTCTGCAAATGGAATACGTCCTTGCTTCACCCATAGGTTGTTTATTAGGAAAGGCAGTTGTGAGACTAAGGAAGAGCCATTTCCAGCCCCATGTGCCAGCATGAAATGTAGGAATGTGTCGTCTTAGTCCAAGCATGCTGCATTTTGAATACTTGCCTGCCATAGTTGAAATTCCTAGGACAACTCCAATAGACAATTCTATTTGGGTTCCCTGAAAAATAAAGAGTTTTCTCATTACTTGTGGGATTTGGAGTTAAAATAATTTATATTGATACAACCGGCAGAAGTATTGCTTACTGCTTGTCCATGGTAAAACTGAAAGGCTAAACGGACATTACTTCTACTAGACCAGCACAGATCCTATCCTCCTGGCATATGTATTTCTCCCTAGGACAAGAGTCTACTTCTGATGTTCTTTTAATATTTTATACTGTTTCATAATGGGCACCTAATGGACAAAACCACAACCTCTATCTCTGCATACCATCTCCCCCACTGTAACTCTTGGCTGAATGCACAGCTCTGAATCCAAATTGCCACAGATACTCAGCAAACAAGTACGACACAGTATTGCAGCACTTTATGTTTCCAGCTGAAGAAACAAAATCACAATGAACTGCATAATGAAACAGCAGTACGTGGTCCAGACATGAGACACAACGTACATAAATCAAAACAAGTCATGTTCCAGTTGGAAGGTTTTCCACTGTGAGCACAGTTGAGCATTGGAACAGGTTGCTCAGATAGGCTGCCCTTGGAGTTCTCATGTCCCAAGGGACAAAACCATGAATAACTTAGTCTGACCTTACAGCTTATTCTGCACAAGGTTAGGCTATAGACCCTGAGAAGGTCCTGAGCAGGAAGACTAGATTTCAAATTCTGTTCTACTCTATTCTACTTGAACAACATGAATTATAGTGACTTGGATCAAGGAATTAAATAATGAACTTACCGCAGCAATCATAATTGCGTTATCCAAAAATCCAAACCCTACAAAAGGTAGTGCATTGTGGAAGAACACTAAAAGAAATAAGTAACAAAGAGAAAATAAACATTTATAAGAGTTCACTAGTTCACAGGAACAACTGAAATGTCAGTCTAATACTGCCTTTCAGAGAAACAAAGCCAACATACCCAAAATTCCTTTCCTACTAACTCTGCTGATGACCTTTCTATTGCTGCAGGTGTGAGTAAACCCTTTGCTACACAGAAATGTTACTAATGGCTCGTGAAGAACCAGCTAGAATAACTCACTCTGCAAACACCTGCACAATTTTAAATGGAAGCTACTTATGCCTACTAGTACATAAAACTCCACAAACTTTGGTAACATTTACAGACCTTCCAACGGATGTCGCAGTATCACTGAAGACCACCAAACCGTCTCAGCAGACTCCCTGCATTCTTCTCTTGCTTGAAATAAAGCCCTTTCTCTGCAAGTCCCTCACTACCCCTGTGCAAGAGCTCCATCTTCGTCATGTATTCCTAAAAATTTGTACTTTAAGAGCATTGTCTGGGCCTAGACAGTTCTTAGCAAAACTCCTTCTGCTAAATCTGCAAATGCTAAGCTGGTTAATTATCTCACTATTTCAACTCAAACTTCTATATCTTGATTTTGTTTGTGCACTATACTCAGAGCAAGTTAGACTTGAACCTGCTCCTTAATACACTGTTTATGAAATCAAGTTCCACCTTTAGTTTCACACATTTTTTTCCTATGCACTTCTGAAACCCAGGGAAACCTTTTCTGAAGACATTTTCTGTTGGAACTTGGAATATGCTGTTCTGAATAATGTCTTATAACACAGTGCTACTGTATCATTCCTTTCTGTCCTGCTTCATTTTCTCTCTCAAGTCTTAGTTTGTAAGCTTCTGATGGAGATGGGATTGAATTTGCCCAGCGCTGCCTCCAGCTGCGTTTCAAGGTGCTCACTTCACAAGACTAAATACAGCACTGAGGACAGACTACATGACAAAAATACAGCTTAGAAAGCTAGAAATTCTTATTTTTAAAATATTTAAAATACATTAGCTTTTCAGTTTGGATTTGGTTGGGATGTTTTTTCACTTCAGATAGGACTATAATTCCTGCATGTTATAAACTTCAGAAGATGCAAACACAGGAAGAGGGAAGAAAAAAAGAGTACATGAACCTCGGAGTCATGTGAAAAGAAACTGGTACAAGTACCTTTTGGGTTTCCCTCTGGCAGAAAGGATGAATCCATGACCATATTAAAAACCAAAGCCACACTTGAGACCTTTCATGCTTAGGTACTAGAACATTGTGTGTACATCTGTATCTACTTTGTAAGAACACACATACCTTCTTCACTGCACAGTTAAACAACAAAAGCACAAAACAAACGAAACTTCCCAATTTTTTTTGTTTAAACCATCACAGGACAAAATTCCTAAGACTATAAATAACAAAAAAGCACACAGATATGCCCAGTATTTACAAAATGTGTGTACCAAACTGTGGCGCCACAAAGAGAGCTCAAATTCTTCGTGAAATGGACAGAATTTTGGAATTCATGGAGTAAACAGAACCCCAGGGACCAAGCAAAAAAACCAACCAAAACCAAAAGAAACAAAAAACAAACACACAAATAAACCCCACAACCTCCCAAGAAAAATAAGTGTAGATCCTTGGAACAGGAAAGTCTCTGACTAAATAAATTTGCTCACTAGAGAGTATAAGACCACAGAAATACACTGATTTGGAAAGTAAATCAGAATTTGAATAATCGTGGTATTATAAAAAACACACAATCTATTTCCAATTTCCCTGCAATTTTATACCACTCCTCAGTCCATTTAAAAGACAAAACCTCCACAAGGTACTGCAGCATCAACACTGCTTGGCTTAGAAAAACAATGTTTGCTGCTGGCTTTGAACAGTGCCTGCTCTCATTTGGGCTTTCTGTCCTACTTTCACTAAGTGGTGCACATTCTCCAGCTGAGGTGTTATGAAACAAAGACAGCAGGGTGAGTGTTGGTGCTTTGGTTTTCTGTTACTCCATATGACATGGATGAGGACAGACCAGCACTTGCAGGAGAAAGATGAAGCCATTTCAAAGAGAGACTGCACAAGTACTGAACCACATTCAACAAACATTCTTCTTTTACCATGTCTCAGTTGTCCTGGAGATGGTGGTGCAACCTCCAACTTCTCTAGAGAAGTCAAAATGAAATGAGAAAGTTAGCTGGTTCATCACAAACTCAGTTTATTATAAAGCCCTTACCAAATTACTAACAGGCAAAAAAGCAGTTATGTTATTTAACAGCTTTCAAATGGGAAGAAAAATGCTTCACGCCTACAATTTTTATTATTTTTACAAATGAAAACATGATACTAAAAGCCAAAAAGTCTTAGAATAATATTACAAGCTTATACCAGTATAAGTGGTTATGCAAAGTAACAGCATACTTCAGAAGCAGCCCACGAGCCATCCTTACTACTGAAAATTAGATAAACACACTGAAATTACAAAAATCCAGACAGCTAAAGACAATTGCTTTTTTTTTTTGAGTTCCTCTAAACATGCAGCAGACAACCTTCTTTCTCCCAGACACAGTCTGCAAAAAAATCCTAACTTTATGTTCTGACAGAAAGCATCTTTGAATAGCTAGTATAAGAACAAAAGAAAAATAGAAACCACTGATTTCACTAAGAGCAGAGGTTTGGTAATTTGATGCATGTTTCAGATATCCTAGCCTCAAACCATTAAGACCCTGCAAGGACCAGGACATCAATCCTGAACCTGACAGAGTATTCTATAGGACACTAATGCAGTCTATGAGAGATGCTGTGCAGAATGCAGCAGCAACAGTTACTCATTTCACAAGGGCAAGAGAAAGAAAACTAGCTACATTTTTAGGCTTCTGTTGTTTTGTGCATTGTTGTGGTCTTTTTAATGTGAATACTGAGCATTAAGACTCCCTTTTTAAAACAGGAAAAAACATTGCCAAAGTATCTTCCAGTATTATGAACCCTGAGCTTTTGACAAGTTGCTTCCACAGGCAGGCAAAGGTAAAAAATGGTAAAACATGTGGAACCTACAACATTCAAGTATTCAGATTTTACTAGGGGCAGTCACAGGTACATGGAAAGACAATTCTGCAAACACAGACTATGATTCATGTGTCTGAGCAGTGCAGACTAGAGTGAGTATCCTTGCATCCAAGTCACTCTTGCACTCAAAGCTTTTGTAAAGAAGAAAGTAATATATTCACTACAGTAACTTTGAGAAAAAACGTAAGGTAGACCATAATACCACTATTCAGTCCAGCAGGACACCGACTTCCAAAATAATTTCATTAATTGAAAGTCTTCAACAACTTTTAAGCTATAGCAGCTCTGAAGAGCTCCTTCTTCACCCTGCCCAATACACACACTACCTAAGCTCTATGAACACCAGTGGTACTCATCATGCAAGAGGGACAAGTGCAGCCCAAATACTACAGAAGTAAAGGTTATTTTGTTTTCCCCTAGCAAATGCCAGAGAATTCACAAATTCAAAGCTCAGACTGGAGGAGGCACAAAAGAACATGCCATGGTAGACAGAGGGAAGCCCTGTAAGAGACAGTCTTCTGAAGCCACAGGCATCACTGGAGTGCAACAGCCAGAGAACATCAGACCAAAACTTTCAGCTTGTGGTCAGGAAGGGATTGGATCCATTTTCATATGGTCTCCTTCCATCCTCACAGGTTAAGCAAATCTTTTACAGAAGCATGGACAAGAAAGAGCTGCTATCTGCATGCACCAGCGCTGCCCTTTCGGCAGCTTTTCTCAGAGACAGCAAATTCATACAACACTGGGGAAAACCAGAGTCACTTCGAACCAAAAAGATGCACTGACGCCACTGTTTCCAAAAGCTCCAGATGCCCTGGTGGTGTTCAGGCAACCTAAGCTACCACCACCACATTCCGGATGAAGCTTC